TATATATATATATATATATATATATATATATATATATAACAAAAATGAATCTATATTTATCTTTTTGGTAAACCATATATATTTGTAAATATGCAAAAGAATAATTATCATTCTAAATCTCAGTATGGAATTCATAAATCTTTCAATAAATTTATCTGGAAAATATAATTAGTTATCTTAAACTATATTAATATTAGTTCATTTGAATTGATACCACTTATGTTTACAGGATATTAAGTATAAAAATTTAATTTTAACTAACAATAATAATAAAATACATGCATATGCTGAACTTAAATTTAGAGGATTAAATACCAAAATCACCCACCGAGAGGGATGTATATGTCAATTTGCTCTCTCTCTCTCTCTCTCTCTCTATATTAAATTATATATATATATATATATATCTATATATATGATTTATACATACTAAAGAAATATAAGGAGAGGGTGAGAAAGAGATGTCACTCCAAAGCTGTTCGCGAGCCTTCTGGGCGTTCTCCTCCTCCACGACTCCCACTCGCCGCACCCCGTCGGCGGCACCGAAGCTTCTTCGACGCCGAGCTCCTCTCTTTGGGGCACTCTCTTCTTTGTGCCTCGGCAGTATTTACGCCATCGCTTGCAGGTCTGCAGCCCGTTTCCGTTTCGTCGCGCAAAACCCTAATTCCCCGATCTGGGATCCGATACCTGGAGAATGGTCCTTTGTTTTTCCCATTCCTGTTTCTTGTCAACCCATCTTCGATTTTGGATTGGTAGGTTTTGTTGAAGTATCTGCTTATAATGTGGTAACATGGGGATCTTGATGCCTGGATTCTGGTAGTCTAAAGGTACGTTAGAATCTAGATGATATGTGTGGTACTGTCACATGATGATCTGCGAGATCATTCTTGCTGTCGGAACTTTGATGATTATGTATTCTTTTACATCATATGATATTGATTCTTGAGAATAAGCTCATTGATGTTCTTTGTAGTGTTTCAAGAAACAAATTATAGTTGTTCGGTGTTGTCGTCTCCATTTGAAACCTGTATGTTTCACCTGTTTGAGTGAATGCTATTATGGAGGCACTTTGTCCTCCATGATTTGTCCGAAAAGGAATATATTAATTTCTTGATGAATTCTATATAACTGAGATATCTATGTTTTACCTGTTTGAGTGAATGCTAAAAGGAGTCGCTGACATCCAGAATTGTCCAAAATGCTAGAATGATTCTTGCAACTCAGTGCAGGCTTCTAGTTGACGTTGGTATCTTGTTCAGGCTTGACGGGAGTCATGGGGCATATTGTGTTTCCTCGGCAGGCGAGGCCTTCCGTTCTTGCATCTTGTACGGGCTTGCCAGGTCCATTTTTTTGGTTGGGAAAAGCCTGTCCCCTTTATCAGTACTAGCTATGAGCACTAGCTGTGAGCTGGGACTTGGTTCTATCATCTACGTGAGATGAGGACATGTTTATTAGAATTTTTCTAGCATACGGGATCACAATGTAGGTTTCAGTCTGGTACCCAAGTAAGACATTCTCTTTGGTTGTTAATAACGTAAGGTTGCAACCTTGTCTTTTTTTTTGTTCATGTGTCTTCCCATGAACAGGTCATTTAACCGGTAGGAGCATTCTGTTATGGATTCAGATATTCTGTCATATTTCTTTTCATTTCCTTTGACACTGTTTCCTTCTGCTGCTCATGTATGGCGTTGGCAAATCTGCAGGTCAAAGTTTGTTAACCAACCATCCACCAGAGGTCTTCACTCTACTGGAATGGAGGGTGCTTTAACGACTGTTCCATCCATTGTTGTTTATGTTACTGTTCCAAACAAAGAAGCAGGTTCTTTTTTATCTTTTAGAGCATACTTTACTTCTCATTCCTAATTTGCTAAAGCAGCCTTTTAGCAAATGTATATAATATTACAAGTTACATTTTTTGTTTGGAGGTTTTGTTGATCCATGCAGTTAGGGCTACATTGTTTACTTTTTGGTGCCTTTTATTCATTATTAAAAAAAGTCCAGATAGGTTTGTGCCCCCTATCAGAGAAATGCCTCCTCGCTTATTGACTTGAACGAACGACGTTTAGAGTGGAACCTAAGGCATTCACTGAATAAGGTGGATACTTCTTATCCTGGTTGGATGAAATGAAAGATATTGTTGATGAATAGATGTCTTAATCATAAACATCATAGAAATAGACGGCGAGTTACTGATCCGAATGATCAGGTCGTGTAGGACCAAGGTCCAAAACTCTCAGTTTATTTAGGATGCCTCAGCTGCATACGTCACAACACTTGGAATTGACACCTCGTAATGATAAATGACATTGGCTCCCCATGACCTTATCTTGGATTATTAATACTTCTATCATTCCATCCCCATAGGGACAGAGAACCCTTCTCTTTCTTGGTTGTGCTACCGGGGACTCCAAGAAAGTCAGAATAAGAGAGCATTCATCTTGGGGTAGAAGCATCACCAAAAGTGAACCAACCCCTTGGACTGCTATGAAAAATGCAATTTTAAGTAGCCCAATCTAATCCAAAATTTTTACCTACTTGGGCATGTCTAGCATATTTTCACAATCACAAAATCACTATAACTAACTTGCAGAAGTAGGATCAATCCTTGTTCATACATGGGTTTCTTTTTTATGAAATGAACTACTTCAAATAGGTTCATTGCTTGGCCCAGAATACAGTTAATCCGACATGAGCTACATGAGCTCCGAGTATTTTGGATTCACTAGAAGATGACTATAAGATAAATATTGTTTTCTAGCTGCATCTTATGAACCCACTATAACATGATTATGACATAAGTGTTCCTTGGTTGCTGCATCTAAACTGTTTGTTTGGCAAATGATGAGTCCTGAACAACCTTTCCAGTTATAGCTATCTCATGAAATTTTGTCTACTTGCCCAAATCCTTCATGATGGACTTTACATTCATCCTCCATGATTTATCAGTGCCCTGTGTTTTGTTCATGCAAAAGCTTAATCACATTAAGAGATCATCTCTCAGACCTGCAGAATATATGCTACTTGTGCCATCGTTATATCCCTTTCAATCAGTATTTTGTTTGGTATAGTCATTCCTCATTCATTAGCTGCATTGTTCATTAGCTTGTGACTATTTGTGGAAACTGTTGTTATTTAATTTTTTAGATGTTACTAGTGCATTTTGGAGTGGAGAACTCATGACAAGATGGAGATATGATATTTCAAATTCTAAACCATGATGTTGAGTACACCATTAATGTCATAAGGCACTTGGGCATTTGCCTAGGCACCCAAGCGAGGCGAGGCTCGAGCGCCTCAATTTGAGTTCGGGTGGCTGTCAGCCAAGGTGCACGCTTGAGCCCAAGCATCAGGAGGCTCAAGAGTGTGCTTGAACCAAGTGAAAATTGGTTAGGAGATTGGGTTGGCTTTCATCTGGTTCAATTAAGCCATATAGCATGATCTAGACGAGCCTCTCCCACCCAAACCCCCCTCGTCGCATGAAACCATTCTTTCTTCTCACTTGGCGAACGTAGTATCTTCCTCCTACGGCGTGTGCAAAGGCGGCCCTCCAACGATCGGCAATGACTTCTTCCTCTCATTGTAACTATATCTCCTTCTTACCCCTCATCACCCCCCCCACCCCCACCCCCTGCATCGAGCTTTCCTGCCCACCCCCCAAATAGCTCCCCTCCTGTTTTCGTTACCCTCTCCTCCGTCGTCGACCACTCCCGTTGAGCTTCCTCAGAACCCAACAACCCCCCTCCCCCTCCTCCTCCTCGATATCTCCCCTCCCGGTTGGCAGCACCCACCTCGCCGAACCCTTTAGCCCCCTCTCTCTCCTCTTCCTCTTTCCAAATTTAATTAAGTAATTGAATTTTAACTATCTGAAGATTTTAGTCATGGTAATTGTGTTAAAATGTTATGATAACTGGCTTAAATATTAAACTCTTAACAAACATTGCTAATTCCTTCCATGAATCTTTCGTAAGTAATCATCGCATTTATCATCTATGATTAGTAATATTTGATCGTTAGATTATTGAGGATCATGGCTGCAATGGAAATAAAGTTGATGACATGGATATGTGATAAAAAAGAAAGAGGCGAGCTTGGAAGAAGCTTTGAGATGTTATAGAAAAGAGTATTATTATTTTCCTATTGTGAAGGTTTTGTTGCCATTTTTAAATCATGTTTGGAAATGAAGAAAGAGAGGGTGAGAAAAGAAGTATGCTTTCTTCAGAAAATCATATTGATTTGTTGTTGTATTCAATCTATACTTCTTTTTGTAAGCAAACAACATTTTGATAGACATTCAACTGCATGGGTGGATGCCGAATCAAAGAGAAATCTACATTTAAATGTGCACATGTCAGACTCCAATGTGCCAATTGTCTTAACTACGGCTTGCAAAGTGAAGGGGTCATTGGGAATGTTCCCAGTCGGGACCTCCAATGCTCAAGCCATTGTCCGAAGTGGATTAAGTCTTGAGAATTTTTGTGGAAAATTGAAGAGCTTAGGGGAAAATGAAAATAAATAACCTGTCTTTTCATGAAAGAGGTATCCTTTTATAGTGTGGCCCCAAGATGGTCATACTACAAGACTACAATACTACAAGACTACAAGTATAGGTTATCGATATTGTTGAATTGGCAAAGTTGACCTGCTACAATGATGGTGGCAGTGGTGGTTGGAGTGGTGATGTAGGGTATGTCTTTGGCACAAGGCATGGCCGTGCCGCTGAGGACATCACTGCCACCTTAATGGCAAGACTGGTGGCAGTTACGGGTTGCAGACTAGGTGATGCGGGCTTAATCGATGTATGCTGCTAATGTGGCAATGGACAGCTGGCACACAACAGTCATCGATCGGAGGGGACCCATGGCATACCCTAACCACTAAATGAATCACTAAATTTGTCAATTGCAACAGTTTTCACGTAATAACACAATTTCCTCATTTGTCATGCATACATGTATTGACAAGAGGGTGAAATTTCCTCTTTACACCAGTAAATGGTTAGGTCTTGTGCAAAAAGCTGATGCCACCTTCATATGTAAGTTGAGTGGACACTAATTGGCAACTATGTTGCATCTTATTTACTGATATGTATATACATGTGTGTATGCTTGTTTTAGACGATCATGTAATCAACGCGATTCCAAATGCATCTCCATGCTTTTGGACTTCTCCGAATTGTGCTTTTTTTTACTTGTATTCTAAATAACCTTCCCATTCTATGTTTATGATACTCCTTTCTGACTCTGTTCCTTCTGGATTTTGCTTGTTTAAGCACAGGCATGAAGCTTGCAGAAAGCATCATCAAGGAAAAACTTGCTGCATGCGTCAATCGAGTGCCAGGCATGTACATCACCTAATATTTTGTTGCAACATGTGACAATCCTGCTTGAAAATTTGTTTGTAGCAAGTTTTATGCTCTCATCTTGTTTTGTTAATGGTTTTTAGTTTTGGTGAATATGGCCGATTTTCAGGTCAATTGGGTGCCACAACTTACAGGATCTTATTTGACTGTAGCGACTTGTGACTGTCACTTGGAAGATTATTAGCATTTTGCCTGAACTTCTTAGGGATAACTTTCACACATTATAATATTACTATATTAGAAATCTTTTTTCTTACATAGAATTCATAATATTTTTTAAGGATAACTTCTGTTTGTTTGTTTGTTGAGATTGCACATCACAGACATAACACTATTAGGCTGGATTCGCTTGGGACCCAAAGCCAAAAACTAATCCAGTAAGCTTATTGATTCAAAATGAGAAACCATATCTGACCTTGCGGGTTAGATTCAGGTTGGGGACCAAATCTGTATACATTAGTGGGTATACTTACAGGATTTGACCTTGCGTGTTACTATAATTTGTGTTCAATCAATATACTGATCTCCTATATTTTTAATTTTGAAAATATATTAGAAACCATAGACACTGATTTGATTTCTCTTGGTTTAACTTGTGATGTTGCCTTCCAAGGAGCTAAATGGCAGGAAAAGGGTCGATGTAGCTAATCTCTAGTTGGGACATAAGGACTTGGTTGTTATCTTTAAAAAGACAAAGATTCATATATGTCCTTATAATATTTCATTTAGGACTACTCAGCAGATTAAATAGTACCGAGACTAGCCATTTCAAGTTTGTCTTCCAAAACCATGTAATTTTCTGAATCTAATGTTAGTCTTGATCTTTAATTTGAATAGTCTGTTTCATCTTGGATTTGGTCTTTAATCTGGACAGTCCATAATTTGAATTGTTTTTCTATTTATTAAATTGACTGTAAAAAAGGTTAGGACTTACGATTTTGTTATTGTTGGTGGTGGTGGTGATTGCAAAAAGTTCAACTAAATATATTTGGTCCATAAGGAAGAAGAATTTCGAGTCAGTTGCTGATAGCACTTGTGTGGATAGAAAGAAAAGGGATTTATGTTTAGGGTTCCAAATAAGTTAAGCTGTTCTAGCATATCGATTATTCTTTGAAAGATGAATTGCTTCATATTTTTGTTCCTCAACAGCTTTTGCATTATTATTATTATTATTTCATAAATGGTACTTGGTGATTGAAACACCTTTGCTTATTTACTGCTGAAATGTGTGTGAGCATGCATGGTTGCAGGTATCGAGTCAGTTTATTGGTGGGATGGCAAGGTAGAAGTTGAATTTAATATTGGTTTTGTTTCTCCTCAAACTACAAACATACCTTTGATGTCTCTATTCAAAATGTCAGGTAGAGACGGATGCTGAGGAGCTACTCATAATCAAGACTCGGGAGTCCCTTCTCGGTGCCTTGACCCAACATGTGAAATCCAATCACGAGTACGAGTAAGTAGTAGTAGTGCCTACGATGCTGAGGAGCTACCTGAGATTGTTGGTTGACTGACAATTACCATTATCACTGCAGCGTTCCTGAGGTCATTGCCCTGCCCATCACTGGTGGCAACGAAAAGTACCTCGAGTGGATCAAGGACAGTACCAGAGACGACTAGTGTCTATATTTTCCCTGCCTGCGCATGAACCATAACGGATTTGCGTGCTACTGCTGCACTCGTATTATATTAATTTCCCAACAGTTATATATATATATATATAATTCCTTAAGATGATGAAATCCAAACACGTTTATCCTTACAATTTCTGCTAATGTGAGCCTGACATCACATGATCCGATCAGGCTGTTATGCGAAGGAAAACAAAACTCGCTTTGACCTTGTGGAGTAAAACCATTACAGCTAAGAGGAAGAGCCACATGTTGCTGAGGCTTTCATTTGGATAGTTCCATTAAACTTGAGTCTTCGAGGTACAACTTAGAACCCCATGGACATTGCAGGAACTGTGGTGCTACTTGTGGTGATACATGTGGGAGCAAGGTGCAACAACCCGCTCAGCCGACGACGTTAAGAAAAGTGCCGAGGATGACGGTGACGAAGGACACAGCTAACGGCGCAATCATGAGAGGCTTCATGACTCTGCCCGCCGGTGGCGCGGCGAACCCCGCGTAGCACGCAATGAAGTAGATCACCATGGCCATGTCGGCGGCGAAGGTGAAGAAGACGGCCAAGGCGTGGAGTCGGTAGGCCAGAAGATAGTGATGGTGCGACGACGCCGACGTAGCAGCGGGTCCCAAGATCTTGATGGCGCCGGAGAGGCCGAGCTGGAGCAGCAGCGGCACGGCCGTCGCGAGGAAGCTGGTCGGTGGCGGCGTCGCTGGTGGATCGGGCTGGGATGCGGTAGCTCCTTCTGCTACTACTTCTTGCAAGCTAATGACATGTGACGACGCCATTGCTGAGAAACTGCGCATCGGTGGGCGTTCTTATATATCGGGGATGGAGGTCGCAGGGTCCCCGTCATGGCGTTACGGGGAGCAGTCGCTGAGTGGGACCTGAGCTGTCACCCACGGGCGAGGATGAGAAATTGCCGAGGTTGACGAAGAGCGGATCCACCTGCACCCAGGTTAAGGTTGGTGGCAGCAGAAAGCATTTCGATGTTTTCACATTGGGAAGAGAGGTTGATTTCGCTGCTATGTGGGAGCAACTCATCTCACGTGGGTGCATCTGGCATTAGTTTCATTGGTTTCAAACCATATGTCAAACTTGGGTACTAACAAAAGGGACCGAGGTGGCCGCCGACGTGCTGGCGATGGGGTGTCGCTGAGGTGGCCTCACGGGTGCCGTCGAAACTTGAGGGGCTGCTGCATCATCAACTCAAGCAAAAACGTCGTCTAAATTGCAATGGAATATTATGTAATATTTATGTGGGCAATTTAGAGAGTGCAGAAACAGGTTATTAAGCTAACCATAGGCAAGCTAGTCAGCAAGATATGACAAATCAAATATAGATTCGGTTAAAAAGAAAGAACGAAAAAACCTAATGCAAGTGAAGAATTGAACCAATTGCTAGAACTCATACTTGTTTTCCATACCGAGTCGATTGATAAATAGCTTTTAATGCATGAGAAATCAAACCATAAAAAACATGATACAAGCTCAATATACATAGACAAATCATGATAGTTTTCCTCTTTATTTTGTCGCAAAAAATGTAGGTACAAACAAAGACCGAATCCAACAAAGACACCTTGATAACAATAAAAAGAAACCAGATATGAGATTCTCACAAACGAGCCACGTAGGAGTTTGATTGTGTGACATATCTCACCCACCGATATGGGTTGTAGGAGGGTGACTTCTTTGCTATGTGTAGATATCTTACCTGCCCAAAAAGAATCATGCCATGAGTAGGAAGGATGTTATTGCTTATTACTTTTAGCTCAAAAGCAAGCAGCATATACCTTGACCAACACTGGCATCATATTACAAGAATATAATCTCAAAAACCAAAGAAATACATCGTTGAATAAATTATTATAGACCGAACTAAAATAAAAATCATCCAAGGTTTTTTTGTCGATAGGATCCTTATCGGGCAAACCCCATGAGATGTTGGGCAAAATTCCTAGTCAAAGCAAACTCAAGGATTTGAGAGTTTGGTTGGAGGGTAGAAAGTTTTGCTTCACATATTGCAGTTTGTCCAAACTAATGAGTCAATCAAGAATTGTGACGACCAACGCCTATGCTGAAATTTGAAATTTATTTATTTTTGGTTAAAATGCGACCTAGAAAATATTCAATCAAACAATTCCTGAAGCTTGTTACATAAGTAGCATGCCTTATTGGAATGTAAGAGCTACTCTGTACTGTTTTGTAGTAAATTATTCCTAAATTGTCTAGAAATACTATAATTTCATGCTAGCATAGCCACTCCAAACCCCGAGTTGATGGAAGTCTTGTTCACTGGGCTGCCCTTTTTATTTTCATCCTAAGCTCTATGCTTGGTGTGGCCCTTCATCATGTCTAAATATCTATCAGCAGATCCTTTTCTCATTTGAACTGTATCGCCTTATATTAGTATTTCTACATTTAATCTGTTTTTAAGTACTTCTACTAAAACTTGTTTTATATGTTCTACAAGGTAACTTAGTTGTAACTTAGTGATTCTGAAGAAGTAGAACCTTAGACTATATGTAGGCATAAAGGGATGAACGATTTCAAATAAGCATTGAACTAACACCTCTAGTACATATATAAGATACTACTGTTTCTGATAATCCAGTCATGATCTTCCAGAAAATTCACTTAAAATAGGCCTGCAGGTTGCAGCTTAAGTTAATGTTCGTTTATGAGTAACTGAACATGTCTGCTTTCAGATTATCACCTGCTGAAGAAAAAAGTAATAGCAATCAAACAAGATAATGAAAATCATCATAAGTATGGTAGAACTCAGTAAGGTGGCTGGAGTTGCCACTCAACCCACAAAAACCATCCAAATAATCATCGGCATTTTAGAATAATTCGAGAAAGAGTAATGATATATAAACAAAGCCACTTGATTTGCGCCCCCCTATTTGATCAACGGTGATCCACTGACTGTAATATTTAACATAGGATCAAAGGTAATAATTATTTCTACGCTGAAAAATAAAGCATGACATACTGTCTGAAACTGTCACCGATGTGAAGTCTGAGGTGGTCAATATATGCAATCACACCTCCACAAGTAAAGAGGTTGTTTTTGGGCATCCAGGTTGCAAAGGAGCAGACCCATCAAAGTGCCAAAAAGAAAAGAACATGCTGATAAGGGAGTCTAAGTAAATCATTGCCTCACCTGAAGCTTTGATGCATTGTACATTGGTATTGTGAAGTTCATGTTTATTGGTCCAGCCTCTCTAGCAATGTTTCCTGAGTTTCAATGATTAAAACTTTTACCAAACAAACACAAGATTATAATAAAAAAATACAATCTAAGCAAGTATACATGTCTCTTACCATGTGATTCCTGTGAAAATGTGAGCTTTGCACATAGCGTGTGTTCAGACCCACCCACAATCTGAAGCATTTTTCTTAGTGAGATGAAGATGTGAACAAACAACTTAAAAAACAACAATACAAAATATCCATGCTTGTATGACCAAGATTTAGTGGAAGACATGACACGTTAAAGCTTGGATCATGAGAAGTTTCTATAAGAATGGCATTTTTACTATTGATATGTTGTAAAATTGATATAGTTTGTAAAATAACAGCACAAATATAATAAAACGAAAAACATAGATGAAAACCCTGCCTTCTTTAGACACCATTCAAGTCTTTTAGCTCCCTCTTTAAAATCAGCTGTCTGTCCAACAGCACCAGACTCCAACTCAAAACTAACCCTGTACATCATTGTTCAAAGATACACTTATCAGCAATGGGGAATCAAATATAGTTTGAAATCATAAGTACTGGTTTATCTCTTTGCCATTAACAACTAACACTTTATAATCAGAACCATCAATCGTCGTACAACACAAATAAAGAAACAAGCATGTATCATGCAGTACTTTGTAACATGTTTGGAAGAAAAATAAAGAACTGAAAGAACATGTGAGTGATATCATAATTGGAGATTGTGTTGCCGATTCACTAGTGAGCTATTATTTGCATCCACCATTTATGAAATACCAAGAAAGATATTCCAACTTTACTGAATAAATTTCATCAAAATGAAAATTTTATCTTTGTGAACTGCTTCCTGACCTTGTACAAATATTAACTATGCACATATTTCCTTCGAGGTAGAAATCTAAAGGTCAGAAACATAAGAAAGAATGACACCTAAATTAGAAAACACAAGATACAAGAAAGATAATATCATCTGCAGTAGTATATTTTGAGAATTGAGATTTAATGAGATGGGTTAATTTATGAAAAAATCAACCACAGTATTACATGGATTAAAGCCAACAGATATCCAGAATATAAAAGTCAAAGCTATGATTATAGTGGGAGTATGCTTTGTCTGGAAGCTTATCTTTCTAGACTAATTATGTCATGAAGGAGGGTTGTTAATACGGGTGTCATGAATAGGTGGAATGAGATTGATATAAAAAGCTTTCATTATAAATGGAAGTGTTGTTTTGCCAGTAAGGCCCATTATGAGGATTCATCAGCTTTTAATGGACTTTTCTCTCCTGAAAATCTGACTCTCTAGTTAAAACTACGATCTATGTACTAATGAGCACACACACATTTCTGAAAGTTTGCAATCATAATCATCGAAGTGGAAAAAATCGGTCAAAGCAACCTGCTGATAATTCAGAATAATGCACTTATGCTTACTTGTAAGTTAAAGCTAGGAAACATAATGCCGAGTGCTGAAGAAGAGATGTGAAAGAAAGAAAAAAGCACCTTGCTGTATAAGTTGGCACCGGCATTTGTACTATAATTGTGTTAGCAGTTACACTCGCTGCAAAATCAGCACGTATTTTTATAATAGCTTCAGCCTGGTAGCATAAAAATATTGCGTTCAGATTTATCTTGGCCATCATGAATAATATTTATGTATAAAAAATCTTTAACAATAAAGGAAGCATCCTGTAATAATGAGGAGATAAAAAAACGATGACCCAACCTTTAATTGTCCTGCTTCTTCAATCAATGCACTAACACGAAAAGGAGGCTTAAATTCTTGAGTCATACGATAGTTCATCGCAGCAAATTCTCCATCTGGAGGTATCTATCACCAAGAGAGGAACATTAAATGATTAAATACCTTGCGGAAAAAAACAAATAATTCCCTAAAGATGCTGCTTTTGTAAGATATATTCTAATTAATAGCATTCTCTATTAGCATCTTGATATATATGGAAAGCAATATACTCACTAGTGATAAAGTTCGGTCCACATCAAAGCTGTCAAGACGAACTGATTCATGGAAATTACAGTCATCAAGTATTACAGCTCCTCCTGCTGAACTTCTATAGTCTGTAACATAACCAATCTTGCAATGATTAACAACTCAGAAGCTCACTGTATATGATTCAATGACACAGTAGCAAAATTCTCCAAAATTCTAGAGTTTCAGAGATGTTTGAGGAGGCTAAACGAATCACTGGATAATGTTCCAAAGATAGATGAATTAAGAGTTATCTATTCAACTATCAACAAACATAAAGATCTATCACTAATGACAAAACTCCAAATAAAAACTTCATTACAGATTACAAGCTAGTGATGCCATTTTTTGTGTGTATCCTAGTAATGTCTTTTCAGTTTTCCCAACTGTCTAATTCAGCCTCTCTCATACTTATTTTTTAGTCACAATGAAAGCCATATTAATTGAACTTCTACACACTATATCCATTAAAAATCCTATTTGTACATACTTATCCAATTCTTTTTCTGATTTTGACATTTTTTTTTCAATTTTCAATTTCAACACTAGTTAGTCTATACATGCATGACATTGCAAGATTGAAAACTACTTAGACACATCAATACTTACAAAGTGGCACACCAGGATCCATCTAAAGCCAATGATATCATTTAATATTAATACAGTTTACATAGGACATCACGTAGAGGTCAGAGATAGCCATCAAAATGGCTCAATACATGCAACCAATGGTTTTAATCACTTGTGTGATGACTAAACTAGCTTATTTTCCAATAAATTAAACAGATATGGAAGCATCTTGTACCTACAAAGTGACAGACACTAAAACTAAACCTATAAAAGTCAATCTAGAGACAAATTTCTGCTAAGCCTAAGATGTCTGTTAAACATGAGATATTACAAAAAAAATACAGACCTGAAGTTTAAGTGAAAACAAAGCAACAATATAATCAGCAGCTAGGAGACTAGGTTTGTTCTCACCATAAACAGAAGAACTGTTCCTACCAATGCTCAAGTCCTCATTAAGAGCCAGACGAATTTCTGGGCTTCCTGTCAAGTAGCTTTTCATTTGAATGGTGCCATCAATCTCTGATGTGAGTATATAACCCTGTTCCATGTTAACATCTGCTGTCAGAATGGTATAACATAAAATGCATAGCTTACATGGAAAGAATCACACATCTTTACCATGATTCTGACATACTCATGTAAACATGGAGTTTCTGCAGGATCCAAATTTGAATAAACGAAGGCTTAATACAAATGAAAAAATCTTCTGACCAACCATGTGCCTGATTAACCCTCTAAAATCAGTGTCTAACCTAATTCCTAGACGAATCTAGGTAAGATACAAACTTGCCTAACAACCTAGAATGTTGATTAGCAGGTCGAACTAGCTACCTCAATAGCTGCAGTTTAAGCTCAAGCAATCAAGGAGCAACTATTCAAGAGTAAGGAAAAGTAACAAGCTTTCCAATATAAAAAATGACCACCTAAAAGAACCATAGAAGCAAACAAGACAACAAAACACCTTCAAAGAATCCAGAACATATACACTTTAAACATTGAGTTCCACAAGGGTCTCTATCGTGGAGACTTTCGCACTGGGCTTGCCCTTTTCTGCATGTTAATTTCCATGCAGCAAGCTAGGAATAAGAATTGGAGTACTTGGAAAAGGTAAAACATAGATACAATCATCCAACAAACTAAAATTAATGAAACTAAAAGAATAATTAACTTTAACATCTTTGGTTCATTCTGACCCAAAACTACAACCAAAGCAGGTCTTGATCAAAAAAGCACTACAACAAAGAATGAAAGGGGATTCATTCCACTATTAATTGTGATAGTTTGTCCTGTAACCAGAAATAATTTATTTCCTTTAAAAGATAATATAACCCAGAATGCTAAAATTTCCATTAGTATTTATTGTTGCAGACACCAATTGTCTTGACAAGTGCAGGCTTTGAATTTAAATTCTGTAGACCACAAAAAGAATGAACAACATGAACATAGTCACGGAAGAATTAGCCAATAATTAATCAAGAACAAAGAGTAAGCTAGGTCAGTAAAATTTTTTAATGGCCATTAGTTTTGTATTTAATTAGGAATATAAATATTGGATGTGCCATTTGGTATGAACTTGTAATTATTGATCCAATGGCCGACTGGTATGCAGACCGAGTAATTTAACCTGTTCCAGTCCCAAACCAAGCTTTCCACACAGTATGCTAACCATACTCTACTCATTGAACAGTAAACTAATTGACATCAAATTATATTGGTCAATAGGCTCCGCCTCAGAATCAAGCTATTGCACAGTAAGATCACTGTACTATCCTTATCAAGCAATAAGCAGTTTTGAAAGAGATCTGAAGCTGAAATTAAATAATTGCCACCCCTCGTGTTGTTATGAACAGTAATTGTACAATTTGACTAATGGTGTTCATTTTAGTTTGCTATAAACCTTTAAGCAGATAGGACATTTCATGTTGTATAAATCAGCAAAATGTAAACATATGTTTAGAAGGGCAGGTTATTGGAGTCCTAGAGTGAATAACGAATTTGATAGAGGACTTATCTAATTTGGCATCCAAAAGCTGGTCTCCAATTAGCTTAGATGAGACAAGATAATATGGATTTATGATACCACATACATTTTGTTGCACAAACATGTCTACATGAGTATGGAGTGATAATCTAAATAAAGCAAATAAATTTTGACACAACTACTCATGTAATCGAACTGACAAAAGACAGATTTACTCACACTAGAGCTGAATGTCACACTTATTTTTTCAATAATGTCAACAAATATTTCCTCCCTCTTTCTGCCACCAGGTTCTGTAACTATAACAGATTTGGTAACAGCTGTACCAGGCATCTTTTTGGTGCCTTGCTGCAAGTATGCAAATAACAGTAATAAAATGAAAGTCTGAAACATATAACCAAGTAGATGAAAATAAATTGTATACAAGAGGAGAACCAGGAACTTAAGAGATTCTCCAGATGCATGGAATAACTAAAGGATTACTAAATGGTACCATAAACATTGATGCCGGACCAAGAGGAGGCACACGTGTAGAATCAATTACAATTGGTTCATTAAATACATATGACTTCAAAACCTCCGTAGAAGTTGTTTGTGGATAACCAAAGTCCTGAAATAGAATTTCATATGCAACAGATATAGTCAATTGTCAAAATTCATATCCATGACATAGTAAATAACAATTGCACTATAGTAGTCAACCGTGTCCTGCAAAATCATGAAGTAAATAATTAAATATATTAACATTTGAATCTATGTAAGACAATGAACATATACTTACAATAACTTCATCAAGTAATTCATACACGAGCACGAAATTTTTTCGCAACGAGTCTTCATTAAGAACCCCAAGATAATCTTTTGTGACTCGAGCTATTCTTTGCAAGAGCTCTAGAACAAGAGAAGGTGAAACATTAACTCTTGTTGTTGTCACAAAGAACAATCCCGCAATCTTCACGTGGATGTAGTTAACCCCATCCACATTCTATTGTCAGAAAAAGGCAAAAGAAACAAGCTGTAAGGCTTAGTGACATATAGATGCATCACTAACATAATTCCTATATGTCACCATAAAGAATGAAATATATCAAGAAAGAAAAAAAATGGATATGACAGAACCTATTAATAATTTCTCTAATGAATAATCGAGAATGGACAACTCCTGAGTTGTTGATTCATTGTGCTAATCCTGACTGTTCCTTTGTGCATTCATAACAATTAGACAAGACATATATGATACTTTACTAGCCTTGCTTACACAAATACCTACAAAGACAGGAGGTGCCTCCTCTTCTTCATCCTCTTTCCAGAACTTCACTTTGCGAAAAAATATCTCAGCACTTCCTTTTGAAACTTCCCCACGATCTGCATCAATTGTTCAAGGTAAATTTAAACTCAACTTCTCAAATGAAAAGGAAAGAAACCAAGCCTACCCACCAAAAGCTCAAACATAAAACCACATCATAAAGTTCGGAAATATAAAACTTAATCCACCAAGCATCAGAAACATAAATAAGAACTGGACAAGAAAATTTTAGGACCTGCAGGAAAAAGGATGTATTGTAGTACTTTGCAGATGGCAAATTTTATGAGGATCAATGACTTGATTTTACATGTCTTTCTACTTTCAACAAAGTACAAATGATTGGAATGGTATATGTAATTACCATCCATGTGGAGAGTCACATACACTATCTAGTCGAATTAACCTATCTGACATGTCTCATGAAAATTTTTAGAAGAAATAAGAATCAACATAGAAAAACCTAAAAAGAAAGGAGTCAAGAAAAAGAAAGAAAAATACTAAATCAGAAAAGAAATTGAACATTGATTGTGATCCATGAATCTAATGTTTTCGTAATGATTTTGCAAAACATGCAAATTATGTCAAAATAATTTGGTGGAACCTTTTGCTATGTGAATATGAAAAATTGACACTCCTCCAAGAAGACATACTGCCTTCTAGCAGACAAAGCAACATCGAAGTTGAAGCCATTTATGCATTTCCTACCTATATTTTCTTATTGAAGAAGTCATGGATAAACAATGCAGCTAGAAGTTTATTAGCAGAACCAGATGTAATTATGATACAAATTAGCAACAAAAAAAGACGTCGTCATGATCAAATGTGTACAAAGCAAATAATCATCTAAGAACACCCAGTTTCAGAAATAAGCTGCAGATACATCACATGTCTAGGTAGCAGAAAATATCGCTTTCATTAACATATATTTGTAGCACAAAAGATAGAAAAGCAAAGATGCAATCTGCCAGCAAGATGGAGTTTTGGAGGGCACTGCGTGCTCGCAGAAAGAACTTTCGAATATGACCAAATGCAAATTTGGTATCAAATTAAAAAACCGTAATCCCAGCACCATGGCTCCAGACATCTTATAGGGCAAATGTTGCACAAAAGCGATCATCCATTAGATGAATCCGACTCAGCCCGTAAACGACCGACAAGATCCAAGAAAGAATGGACGACAAACCTTGGATCCGCACAATCGACAGATCTCAAAGTCGTAGTGACAAACGAAATATAGGGTTTCCATCAAACGATACAGAGATCCACGGACCTCATGCCCTATTGGCGAACTATGGTTAGGGTCTCGACCAAACGACACAGGCGAACTAGCGATGCGATCGCAGACGAATCGAGAAAACGAAAGGGAGAAGATGTTTACAGTCACGGAAGACGATGTTGTCGCCTCGCTGCGACAGCACGAAGAACTGGGCGATCATCGATTGTCGTCGAGACCCACACGAACAAGAAAGAAAGCGAGCGCCTATTTGAGCCGACTGGATTTATATGTGTCGTCGCTGTGACTGACGCGAGAAATTTAGATCAAGAAGCCCTCCTTGCTGTGTGTGTGTGTATATATATATATACACACACACACACAAAACTTAAATATAGGGGGATTCATTTGTCATAACGAGGATGATCATATTACGATGACCATAAAAACAAGAGAAGAGATCAATCTCCAAAATAGTATAGTAATAATTATTATTACATTCATTTGTTTGATGTATAATTATATTAACATATCATTTGGTCTCTCCATTCACCTTCATGGAAGATGTTATTTATTGTATATTACAGAAACATATGAATTCAACTTGACATAAAAGATAACCCAATCCAGTAAGACCTTCATAGCCAAAGTGTTCAATTATGTAATGTATTTAACTTATAAAACACATGCTGGGCCTTTTAAAACATTAGTTGGTTGGTCTTCAAATGCATCCACACAGAAACAACAAAAAACAATCCAACCTTTTCCATCCCTTTGTTCTTCTCCGCCATCTTTTTGTTGACATTTCTTCTCTTCATCCTACCTTCTTCTTCTTCCAGAGTCTCAAAATAAAATGGGAAAAGAGGCAAAGATAAACAGCATCATGGTTGACAAAAAAAGGCCTTCCAACCTCTATTTGAGTTGAGTTCCTGTGGAATTCTCTTTATTTTTCTTTTAAATACAGATCACAAGGTCTGTGGAATAAGTGATTCATTCAGTCACAGCAGTTGAGAGCTAATTAACTTTTATTTTTTCCTTTGGATTCTGAAACCCATCTGATCTTATTTTGAACTGATTCTTGAAGTGCATCTTCTTATTATTTCAGGGTGTCAAAACAAGAGATGCCTGAGGATGGTGCCACTGTTGTCATCAAAACTAACATTTAATGAGCCTCTTTGGCTAGAGTGCCTTTCTTCCTCCTTTTGAGCTTCTGGTCTACACTTTTTCCCTGTTCTTGCCTTTGCTAACCTCCCTTGGCAATTGATCATATAGGGGTCATCATCTCAAACTGAATCCATATCATCCCAATAGAATTGAACAACCATTTCCACTATGATGCTTGAAGCAATGATAGGCTTTCCATGGCAGTTTCCAATTACTTCCTCTACAATCACACCAAGAAACAATGTAGGCAAGAGGAGGATCCATTCTCACCATGAGATTATGTGAGGGTCCTTCCAAGGCAAGAATGTTTATACAATCCTGTCAAAGTCTCAAATCTCATGTTGGGAATATGGTAACAAGAGCATCCAATAGCTGGTGAACCAACTTCCAGCTGTACTTAATCTGCACAGAAGGCTTGTAAAACCAAGCAAAATGCATGTGAAAGGAAATGGTGTAATTCATAAAGGAGCAAAAGAAGTTGATTTTCAGAGGGATGACTAGTTTCAGAAACTTGTAGGAAAATATGCAAATATCACTCACAACTTGGCTGAGCATAATTAACATTAGATAGAATGTACTTTAATAATTACAGCAATTCTAGATGCTCATGGTATTTGGATGCCAAATGGACTACCAAATCCATACCTTATATTGCGAAGTCATGGAAGGAAACCAGATGACAGAGGATTAAGAAATAGAATGTCCGAACATATTTCCTCATCACCTAAAAAAGTTTGGAATATACTCGCACATATTTTCTTATTACCTGTAAAAGTTTGGATTATACTCACACATATGCATGTGTATTATATTACATGTATATATATAAAGTCCAGTGTTGGAATTGACTAGAGAATTAACAGAGTGTTTGATTCACAACTAGTAATGCTAGGTAGCAATTGCATAGTAGCAGTTGCAAGTGCAGTTGTTTGGATGCTACTTGAAATTAAGGTAGAGAAGCCGGCATCCGATGTTCAGAGAGGAAGGAGGTGACAGTAGTTATATGATCTAAAGTGCAGGAGAAAGGGTTAATGTGTGAGACAACACATGAGAGCATGGTGAGAGTATCTGAATTCAAATTTAACTTGCAACCTCAACATGCAAAAGTATGTCATGCAGCATTTCAAACCACAAATTCATTTATAGCATGTGAGGACCGAGTTGCATGTGCAAATACTGGAAGTGTCTTATTTGCAGGCAATCAAATGCTTATAAGTGGGGGTACTGTTGTGAAATGACATGCAAGAAGACCATTTGCGGGCCCTCTTAAGTGTACATTGGTACAAATAGCTGCAATGACATTGATCACAGTTATCACAATTCAGATTTAAGTTTTGCAATGTGTTGCAGTCATTTAACTGGGGAAAAGGATCAATTCCAATAAGAACTTGTCTATTGAAATCACTTTTAAGTTTTATGACAATAGTAAGCACTACTTTCATAACATGCACTCTACTAAGATATCCCATTGCAATGTACCAATAAGACTTTAACCCAATAATATGTGAACTAAATAACAAGAACTGTATTAATATCCAACCGGCACGTATTTTACCTCAAGATGAGCGCCAAGTTTACAGCATGTGAACATTTATGCTAAATGTTAACTAAACAGAATTAGAAACATAGAATTGAGTTGCTAGATTTTCAACAATGTGTACAGGATCGTGCAGAACTTTAATTAAGATATATGAACAAAAATAACAACATTTTCTTTAGAACTTGCTGCTACATCCGAGATCAACCTAGAAAGATTGAAACTTTTATACATGTAAACTGATATATTATGATCAATTTATGCCAATTTTAAAAACCTGTCATATATCTGGTATAGCTCACAGAAAGTATGCATGTTATCAACTATTAATAAAGGATGCCATGTTTATTTAATCCCTTAACTTGATATTCTAGCTGTAAGTTATTCCTTGCTGAACTATATTATTTGAAGGAATACTACTAAGAACTAGAATATCTATGACATCTAACAAGTATAGCTATTTCTTGTTGAACTATATTATATGAAGGAATTCTTCAAATTAAGAACTAGAATAACAAATGTAGAAGATGGAAAAAAAAAAAAGAATTAGGATATATATCACATCAAGCAACACTGGAAGGGTCGTCACAGCCAATCTAGGCTTACATTCGCTAAAGCAGAATCCTTATCATGCAACTTGCTAATACACATAAAGATACATATACAACCTTATAAATATCCTAAACGTCAAGTGTCATCAATCCGTTAACTATATGATCCTAAGCCTTTTAACTATGGTTCCATCCAAGAGAAGAGTCCTTGCAATCATATGGTGCGAGGATGTCGCCCGAACTTGATGTAAAGAATGTAAAGAAGCAAAATTTTGGCTTGGTTCCTAAAAATAGTTTCAAGAACTATTACAGATATTGAGAATAAACATGATATCAAGGTTTAAAGCCTAGCTACTTAAGGCGGAACATACTTTGCCACACGAAATCAGCACACAATGCATGACAATTACCATGGTAACATATACAAATCTAAATGACCATGGTCATGCCTTGTCAAGCCACTGGGGATACTAACTGTGCCAATAGCCTACCGGGCAAGGGCCTGAAATGTGACATCTTAATCCTTGTTATGTGGTATATAAAATTTAAACCTCTCATGAAGGACCTGATAAAAATAGTAAATCATGATTTATGAACAGGTTTTGTGTATTTTCCATATCATCCCTCCTCTTTTTAATGTCAAAGATACAATTAATTTATTTGAATTTGTAAGCGAGGTGCATCATTGACCCATCCCTCAATATCATCAATGGTTGAACTATTGTATCGGCACATAAAAATACATCCACATAAGCTAGGCCGAAAATTGGTGGCCGAACACATCATGGCATGATATAAGTACATCAAACTTCATTTGATAAGGACAGATCCTGGTGAAGTGCACAAAATGCATCCACATAAAGAGGCTCCGATGAATAACAAACAAGTCTACACTGTGAATGCATCTTAGCTATGCTGTGGATTTAAATGCATAATCTAACACAGTCATGGTGAATTTAAGGAAAGAATATGACAAAACGTATCAGTTTAGGTAATTAGAGAATCAACGATAATATTCTAATATAGCTTCAAATGTGAAATAACCAGATAAAAGTACTGCACAAATAAAAGGGCCAGTGCACTCTGCGGAGCTTCTGCCAAAGCAGAATGTATGGAGAGTTACTCTATGCAGCTTTGCCTAAAGATATTATTCAGTGACTTGAACTCTTCACACTCAAATTGAACCAGTGCAACCTTAATGTGGAAACAAGATTCAGGATCAAAGGCATTGGATTCCTGATGGTCCGGTCTATAACATGTAATATTGGTGATCGTTGCCAAATTGAAAACAGCAAAAATATGATTATACTATTCAAACAATTCTGTGCCACATTATATTAGCTATCTGAAGGAGCACAAAATTTCAAGATACAAAAAGTTCGAAAGAAACATCCATTGGAATTACTTTTTAGGTTTTCTAGAATATCATAACCAGGAAAGATTTGTTGGGTAGGTAAGCAAACATGGTAAAACTAATGTGATATTACTATTATGATTAGTTTTGGGAATGCTAATCAGAAAAAGAAAATGAAAGTACCTTTCATAGAAAGCTTCCTTCCTTGTCAAATAGCAGAAGCCACCAAGTACTCTCCAAACTAGGCAAATAGTGAGCTCAGATATCAAAGTCTTATGAAAGTGTCAAGGACCAGGAAGCAAGGCTGATGACTAACATAACCTAAACCAGCAAATTAGAATAGGAGAGAGATTATTCTGTCACCATAAATTAGTTTCTGATGTAGAAAGGGATCAGTCTCCAATACATCAAATGATGACCCAATTAAAATACAACACACTAGAAGTGATACTCTCTTTGGCCAACTGCCTCAGACTCCTTGATCACCTAGAATTCATTACTAGTACACTAGGGCACCCGCAGAGGTATCTCTTCATCCCTCAGAAAGGGAAGATTCTGCAGGTTGTCCAGAATCTCATCGGTAGCATTGACATCTATATGAAAGTTCATGGTATAGTCATCATTTCCTTGGACTCCACTCTCAGAACCACCCTTAAACTCTTGATTGATATTAATACCCCTACCTTCCACTCCCCCTGTATTTGTAGGCATTACCTCACTGCCGGCCCACTGCTCAGGGTCAACCGTCGGCGGGTTTTGATCACCATTACGTTTCCGTCGGTTCCCACCACCCAAAGGCGACTTCTTTGGACCTCCTACGACCTTTTTCATTGCCATCTTCTTCTTACTCCTCGTGACCGGCCCTGTCGATTGCGGTTCCACAACGTTTCCTGTATTAACAGTATTCTGCGGCTCGCGTGGTGGCGTCACATCCTCCTGCCCATGTTTGGAATTCTGAGATGGGTCGATCTTCTCTGAATTGGGAAACATGGGAAAGAAGGGTTTCCATTCGCTATTGAGATCGGGAGCGCTGCAATTGCCGGCATAGAAGCTCGGCCCACCAGGAAACCCGAGAGGGAAAAAGCCCCAAGAGCAGTAGTACATATTGGTGCCCGGGACTACAGGTGGCGCAGCTGCGAGCTTGGTGGCTTGGAACGGCCGGCGGCAGTTGGGGCAGCGAAGGGTCAGGTTTAGATACTCCCTGGCGTACTGGTGCACGTGGCAGCAGGAGAGGCAGGCGGTCCAGAAGGGATCGGCGGCGGCGGAGGAGGAGGAAATAGGGAAGGGCTTCGAGGAAGAAGCGGCCGCCGCTGCGGCTGCGGAGTTGGCGATGTGGAGCTCCGCGTCGAAAAGTGATTTTTTGGTGGGATCGGAGAGGACGGCGAAGGCATCGACGACGAGGCGGAAGGCCGCATCGGCGCCGGGAGCCCTGTTTCGATCTGGGTGGAGGAGGAGAGCCAGGCGTCGGTACTGGCGCTTGACGGCGGCAGCATCACCGGCGTCGGTGGAGGAGGAGGAGGAGGGGGAGGGGGAGGGGGGCGGAAGCTGGAGAACGGCATACCAGTCGACGTGGTTGTTGACGCGGCGCTGGGAGGCAAGTAGGACGTCGGCGACGGCGAGGATCTGGTCGACGCCGTCCAGGAGGGGATCCACTTCCATCGCCCGCTCCGCGAACCGCTTGGTCCCGAGGAGGTCGCGCACCCCGAGGAGCCTCTCTGCGACCGCCAGCCACCGCTCCGCCTCCGCCCTGCCGCCTCTCCCGCCGGGATCCATCTTGCACGCGGCCGTCTCTGTCTGGCGAGTGAAGAGACTCCGAACAGATACCGTCGATTGCAGTAAATGACCAAAAAAGACAACATCCTTCGCCGCGTTACCGTGCCCCGTGGAGGGTAGCAGTGTCTTTTAAACACCGGTGTCGGACATTTATGACCCTGCTTTCGCTCGTTGATCAGCCACGTATCCTTTTCTATTTAATGAAATTACCACATTACCCTTCACTTTGCCAACTCTCTTTTTGGCTAATGTTCCGCGTCCCCTCTCCATCTACCCAAACCCGTTGATAGTAGTGACGTGGCTCTCCGACCATTCGACGTGTACAGATGGGGGACCCAAAAAAGTGTCGATCTCGGGGACGTGAATCCTGAAATATTTCTTTCGCGTGGTGATTGATGAGATGGGAGACTTCGTGCAGGAGACACATTAACAGTCAAGTTATGACACCCCACGTGTAATTTGGTTCCAATTCGTCTTGATTTTACACGGTGTGCGGATAAGAATTATGTTTGCAAAGGTACACAGAATTCGGTGTGCACATCAGTGTATGTCAAATGGGAGGTCGATTTAATATGCACAACATAAGCTATAATATTTTTTTTTTGAAAAAAAATAAATAAATAAAAATAAACATTCTAGTGGATGATGTAATTTTGTAACGTTATTGAAAATAGTTTTTTGTATATTTGTTTTCCCAAGTTAGAAGAGTATTTCTTTGGCTTATTCATCAAAAAAGAGGGAGAAAATGGAACTTTGGGATCTATTCATGTAATGACAAGATTGATTTGATGAATTTGAGGGTTGATGACAAATTTACTGAGATCAGAATATAAAAAAGAAATGAAGACTTTTCATTCTTTGACTTTTGCTTAATTGGCATCAGCATCCAAAGAGAACTTATTACCTAAACACATGGGTGTGTGATCCATATGCTGAAAAATTAGGATTGATTTGGTGAATTTGATCCCAAAATTATTTGCTTTCCATCTACTAACTCTTTTTTGTGTTTTTTGCAATCTCAATTGTATATAATGATGGATGTATGCTTTATGTTTGAATGCCGACGTCGATTGTCACATTCGATGATCAAATGACTCTTTAATTAAACTATGACCGTAGTTGCATTAATCGCATATATATAACACTCTATATATACTAATATACTATATTCTACTCGGATGAAGCCATGACTTAGTTAATAGAGGCCATTTGACCGATCTATCCTTCACTATCTATCTTTCATCTTTTGGACATCAATCTTATGGAGAATGACTTTGTGACATTAATATGAATCGGAATTAACAGGATCCAAATAAGATCAATGATTTATTTTATCATAACTGTAATGGGATAATCAAATTACATCATTAATGAGTATCGATACAGAAATAATATATTTATTACTCATTTAAAAAATTTAAACTAGCTTAGGAATATTTCACGTACATACTATTCATTTAATGAGGAGAAAAATATTGTAAATACAAAAAAAAAGATTTGATCTTGATTGAGAATTAACATTTATGAATGAAGAGTTTAAAAATTCATATATACAAGGACGAAAGTTAATCAATCAAGAATATTTTTTATTTTTTTAATAAAATTTAAAATATATATTTGATTTAATATCTAATATTTTATTTTTATAATTATGCCTATAAAAATAGACTATAATATTATAATAGGCATCATTACATAATGGATTAGTAAATTATGTTATCTTCCAACAACAGTTATTGGATCAAATCCAAGTTCGAATCTTTTTAGGAAAAAATATTATTGACGTTTAGTCAGCTCGATGTGGACAATACTCGTATGCGCAAGATTATATGAAGTATCTCTAAAGTGGATCCGAGGTGGAGGTGTCAAGCTCCCGAGGTAAAAGTTTTGTACTCCCGAGGTGAAAGTATTGTTCTCCTAAGGTAGAAATATTGCACTCTCGAGGTGGCACATGCATGAAGATCAAGGTTAGGGGAGGTTTCCTAACTCGATTTGTCCAACACTCAAGTTAGTAATCCAATGTTCATAAATGTGGGCACGAATAGTTCAAGAAAGGGAGAGTCATCATTTTCCTGTTTAGGATGTGTTTTTATAGGGAAAGAAAATTTATGATATTCTTTCTCGTCATAAAAGAAGATAATGTAGTTTATGATTACCTTCCTTATCATAAAAAAAGATAAAGGAAGTTTGTGATTGTCTTCCTTGCTATAATGAATAAGAAAGAAGCTTGTGTTTATTTTGCTTTGAATATTTATACATGTAGGCGGATAGAGGATAAATTGGATGACACTTCGCAATTATGTGTCAGCTGACGATATATTTTCTATCAATAGTCATGCCCCCCCTGAAGATATGCTTCGGGGCTCTTACAAGAGGGGTTTGAAGTGCGTCGTTTGATTTTTTCGGCATAAAAGCATCCAAGATCTCATCTTATAGGTTAGTTTTTTCTTAAATCAAATGTCTTAGGTACATTAGGCCTTGTGCCCTCGTCATAACATGTTTTTTTATACTGGTTGTGTTTTTTCGATTCATGTGTTTTGGGCACGTTAGGCATATGTTTTTGTCATAGTGGATATCTCTTAGTATGAGTAGGGTTTTTCCGACTCACGCATATCAGATGCATTTGACCTTATATCTCTACCATAACGGATTTATCTTAGCGTCAGTCGAGTTTTCCCGACTCATGCATCTCAGGAGCATTTGGCCTTGCACATCTACTATGACAGATTTATCTTAACGTGGGTTGAGTTTTCCCGACTCACATCTCAGTTGCATTTGGCATTGCACCTCTGTTATAGTAAATTTATCTTGGTACGAGTCTGGTTTTCTCGATTCATGTGTCTTAGGCGCATGTGGCCTTGCACCTCAATCATAGCAAATTTATCTTTTTATAAGTTGGGTTTTCCCAACTCACGTGTCTTGGACGCTTTTGGTTTTGTGCCTTCGTTATAGTGGATCTCTAATCTTCCTAGCGTGGTAAGCTTCAAATCTTCTCTTTATCGTGGTGGATGTCAAGTCCCTTTTCTGTCATAGTGGATATTGGATTTTTTTTGCTGTGGGAGACTTTAAATCTTCTTTCCATTATAGTGGATTTCTCTGCCATAGTGGATCTTGGGTCTTTCCGCCATGATAGGTTTCAAATCCTTTTTTCGCTATGACAGATTTCATGTCCTTTATTCGCCATAGTGGATCTTGGGTCTTTCTGTCGTGACGGGTTTAAATCTTCTTTCCACTATAGATGATATTGATTCTGATCGACACATGACGATGCTCTCCACCGGAGATGTCATGATGGATCTCATCACCGATGATATTCTTGGTAGCGAACCGATAGTCGAGGTGGTCGATGAGTGCTTATACTCGACTCTTCTTTTTCGAGGTGGACAGTAGCCACGACAGCCGAAACACCACAAATAACGTCAAGGTCTCTTCCACAATGGGCATGGGGTATAGAAGGTTGTCCTACATGACATAAACGAAGATTATCTCGAGGAGCCACCTCTCAAGCTTCTTGTCATTTAGGGTGATGGGACCCTACAGGCTCTCTCACATGATGCAATTTGTGAGAGCATCGATTAGGGTAGGCTTACTAGAGCCATTCATCCAAAGCATTGTGAAGATCTGAGGTTGCCGATGTCACCTCAGATCTGAGGTTGATCTGAGGTAGAATTCAAGGTGCTCCGGAGAGGCATAGTTATTGCTCTCGACGACATCACTACTTCCCCCACCTTGCCAAAGATAGAATTCAAGATGGATCTGAGGTTGCCGACGTCACCTTTGGGGATCAAGTCATTATGCTTAAGGACATGGTGCTCCGGAGAGGCATAGTTATTGCTCTCGACGACATCACTACTGTGGTCGCCAACATCACTTATAGGGGAAAAGTCATCGAGCTCAAGGACATGGTGCTCCTGAGAAGCATAGTCATTGCTCTCAGCGATATCATCGATGTGAACATTGATGATGCACTTAAAAAGCTAGCTGAGAGTGATGGACTTATTGTCGTCATTACCTCCAGAGGTCTAGTTGGTGTTAGCTCGAAGGCTATGAGATAAAGAGCTGGTTGAGAGTGATGGACTTAATGCCATTGCTATCTAGGAAGTCCTAGTTGGCATTAGCTAAGGTGATGTGGTGGCTGTGCAGGTCATCACGGTCAATGTCCTCGGCCAACCATCAAGGAGGATTTTCAGTCGAAGAATGATAACTTATCCATGAATCGAGGCATGATATTACTTCACTATCTTGTTATATCTTATTGGAGTCTCTGTCGGGATAGTTGGGGCAAGAGTAAACTAATAGCTTACATCATGCCCATTAGCATCTGCACCTATTGGGTGAGATTCTAGAACACCTCAGTGGGGTTAAGCAGGTGGCTCGGGTTGGTCATATTTTTTTCGCCAAGATGACCTCAAGTACAATCGCCAGCGACCTCTCCACCAATGACCAGAAAAAGGCAAAAAGGCTTAAGCCTCATCATGAAGGCTTAAATCACGAGTGATGGATGAGCTTCTTGTACGCCTCAGATATTGTTGGTGAACCAGATGATGGAGTTGAAGAGTGTCTCTTCCTTCTCTTGCTTGAGTTTGAGTAACATTGTTGCTGATGGCCTCGGGTATATATTCCTGAGGAAGTAGAGTTCGAACTCCTTTGCAAGTTAAGTAAATGAACCAATCAAGAGTGGCTTCAAATGAACGTACCACTCTTATGCTAGGCTTCTCAACATCCTTGTGAATGCATGGTATATCAGAGCATTCAAGACGTCGTTAAGAGCCATCTGGGCACTAAAGGTGATAGTGTATTTAATCGAGTCAGTACTGCCATCAAAGACTTCCAATGATAAGAGATAGAAGTTGGTCGAGATTGGTTCATCTTGGATATTCTAGGTGAATGAGGATCAATCGAACTTCCACTTGGACTGTTGAACTCTCGTCGCATCTCGTCTAGACATTGGTCTATTTATCATAGTTGAACCTTAAGGGAGACATACATTAAATCCATTAATTAGGTCTCGGATTGGGGTGGAGCAGAGTGGTGGTCCGGT